AAATAAAATATATAAATCTTTAACCGTCATCATCAGTAAATAAATTGTCAGTGCGGTAAGTCACATCAACATGACCATTATTATCTTTTTTCTCAATCAAATTAAAATGCATTTTTAAAAATTTTCTATTCGATGATGATCCATTACAAGTAACTGCTACTACTTTTAAACCAACTGAGATTTCTGAAATCTCTACAGCTTTCTAAAATAGAGAAAATAATTGCACTGATGTAATATCTATAGTAGCGAAATTTGCAAAACTGTATTTGAAAGAATTTTCAATACTTCTTATTAACAAAACAAACACACGAGAAGCATGTTTGTCTGCCTGTTGTAATGTTACTAAATTAACAATAGGATTGCCCAAAACAACATAACCAATTAATTCTCAAGAATGTTTGTCATAAAGTAGATTTTCTTGAATTTTTATTTAATCGATAACTTGGACAATAAACTTTTCTTGAGCTGAAAAATGTTCGACTATATCTTTTAACTCTTTGATTATATTTTTATTAATTTTGGCTTCACATAATTTTTATAGTCACGCAATTGCCTACAACCTGGTAAAACTAAGAAACCAGAATTATTTTTCTCATTTAATCTTATCGCTTTATAAGCAGCTGGTAATTTTGCAGCTAATCCCAAACAGTAATGTATCATTGCTGGATGATAGCGAATCTTTTACTAAGAGCTTTTTAAATATTATTGCTGCTTTTCCCAAAACAGGCTCATATATGGAGAAATCATGCTTTTATACTAATCACTATCAATACCTACTTACAGCTAGTGATGAATTTTCAATCTCCTGCTTTTTCAAAGCTAATTCCTTTTTAAATTCTTTATTTTCCAGACAAACACTCTGTAATATAAGCTTTTTAAATTCTTTATTTTCCAGACGAACACTCTGTAAAACAAGCTTCAGACAATCGGGAGATGTAAATTGGTTTATTTAGTTTAGCAGGGATACAAGGATTCGCAACATTTTTTTTCAAACTTATAATTATTTTTTTTTCAATGCTTTTGCATTTAGAATAGCATAACACTAACTCAATCAGCATAATATATGACTTAGATTGAAAATACTCTGTCTGATTTAAGGGAAACTCATTCCTAGATGAATATAAATTGAACTTTTTTGAAATACAATGTTTAATAAACAAATTTGATTTTAATTTGAATACATCAGTTATTCCAGAACACAGGCTAAACGAAGTTACAACAGAAATAAGATTTGAAGCTAAAATATTTATCATTGAACTTTTATTTTTTGTATATATTAAATGATCATCTGGAATGAGCAAAGAATAAATACGAATGATAAAAGCAAAACTATTATCAACATATAATTCATTTGAAGGAAATATCGTGGATTGTATCATAAAGTTTAAATTCTGCCACAACCGGACTTACAATTACTGTCCAGTCACAAATTTTAACTTGCTAATACGATTCTTCGTATGATTTATATATAGGTTTAAAAGTAATAAAACTATTTGAAATCATTTAAGCATCTCTTTTAGCAACGATTGATTGATGCAGATTCCATTTGTATATGTATTGATGACATAAAACTTTTTTTTTGGTAGACACATAGTCGGTAATGATCCAGGTTTTAGTAACTTTCTGTTATCGCTATGAAGTACCGTTTCTGGGAGATAATGCTTTTCACAAATAAACAGACTCTTACTTTCTATATCTTTAATACGATCTTTAAGAATAATGCCAAATAATTTATAATTAATAATTTTTTTCTCCGAGAAGTATTAAAACTATCGTTAGATGGAATTTTAAATATTGAAACTCCCTTATGCCTCCTAGAAGTAATGCATCCAAAAATAAAACAGTTAACACCAAGCATTTAAAAAATTAGATAAAGAAGATGCAATTTTAACAAGCAGTTCATAGACAAACAATGTCTACAAACAATGTCTATGACGAAAATAAATTTTGTGTACTCTGCGGTGGACTAGACACTAGAAAATCGCTAACAAAGAGTTGATCAAAGGAATACCGCAAGTGGCCAGCTACCTATTTCTTATGACTATGGTTAAATCATAAGTTAATATGACTATTAAGTTCTGTTTCTTATTTTCAAAGTTCTGGGCAAAAGTCAACTATATCTTTTTGATTGCGATTACCTTAAAATAGCTACATTTTCCATTTAGTTAAAATATAATTACTTACTAAAATCAGCTCGGTAAGGAAAAAGTTATTTCAATGACAAAAATATTGTTTGCAAAATATCAACACCAAATAGACCTTATGGACCTAACTTCACTTATTGTTATAGAATAAATTCTTTTTAAATAGTTTTTGATCTTTTTATTTGATCATTATTGTTGAAGTATAAAAGAGGTTCTTTCCAAAAAAAAAGTTTTAAAAAAACTTGTTAATGAAAGATTTTAAATCTTAACGCAGTAGATGACGCAGTAGATGACGCAGTAGATGACGCTATACAAAATGTTAGTTGTAGAAGTTTAGTTGTGTTTAGTGTCTCCATTAAAAATTATTATTCGAACTCAACATGTGTTGCTTAAAAAACAAGCTAAACTAAAGAATGGAAAAGATATATATATATATATATATATATATATATATATATATATATATATATATATATATATATATATATATATATATATATATATATATATATATATATATATGTATATATATATATATATGTATATATATATATATATATATATATATATATATATATATATATATATATATATATATATATATATATATACATATATTCTATATATATATATATATATATATATATATATATATATATATATATATATATATATATATATATATATATATATATATATATGTATATATATATTATATATATATATATATATATATATATATATATATATATATATATATATATATATATATATATATATATATATATATATATATATATATATATATATATATATATATATATATATATATATATATATATATATATATATATATATATATATATATATATATATATATATATATATGAATTAGAAAGAACCTGTCTATTAGTCATTCTTCATTTATTCTTTTGAGATACCAAAATAAATTTACATTTGAAAGTTCTTTTACACTTGAAAGTTTCTTCTCCATATGTATTAAAAAAGCGCTTTTAATAAACAAAAATAAATAAGTTTTAAAGATTGCGTGATTTAACTAATTTAATTTTGATTTAATAAAGCATTTTAGATCTTTTTTGGACGAAAAAGAAATAGAACGTAAAAAAGACATTCAAAAGACGTTTAGAATTTAAATGGGACGGACGGACGCTAATTGAACGTCGAAAGGACGTCTTTTTTACGTCCCGTGTCCACTGGTTATGTAGTAATTAATTCCTTGAAAGAATAAAATATAATAATAGCTAGTTTAAAAGCTTCGACTTAAAATCCTTAACTGTGACTTATCCTTCCTGTGATTGCACGAGCTATCCTACTAGTACAAATTATAAAAAGGTTGTAATATTACAAGCATTTGTAGCTCTCATCCAATTCATCAATCTTGAAATATACAGCGCTATAATATTGTATTATATTTTCATCGATCTGGAAAAACCTTATAAAATTGTTGACTACAAAACTTTTTTTAAAAAACTTGTGATAGGAAACTGAAGATATAATTATTTTGGTAAAAAAAAATAATTATATAATCGAAACCAATTTTTTAATGTAAGTAAAGTTCATTATGTATTTAGACGTTCATCAAGCATCTACCTAGCCGGCATTTTGTCCTAAAAAGACGTCTTTTGAACGTTTAAAAGGCGTTCAGAACGTCTTTTGAAAATTCAGAAGACGACTTTTTAGGACCAAATGCCGGCTAAGTGTTTTATGATCACTTCAACTTTGTTTAACTTTTTTATTAATGATATATTCAAACTTTAAACATCAAGCTTTAAATATCTTTGAATTTTTTTTGACTTCAATTTTACTTATTTTTTTGACTTTTTTGACTTCAATATTACTTATTTTTTTCTCATTACAAAACAAACATTCAACTGTTCAAAACTTCAAAATGATTTAAATTAAACTTTTATGGTAAAAAAATATCGACTGCTTACAAAACCACTAACAGTTCACCAAAATAAACTTTTATTGTAAAAAATATCGACTGCTTACAAAACAACTAACAGTTCACCAAAATAAACTTTTATTGTAAAAAATATCGACTGCTTACAAAACAACTAACAGTTCACCAAAATAAACTTTTATTGTAAAAAATATCGACTGCTTACAAAACAACTAACAGTTCACCAAAATAAACTTTTATTGTAAAAAATATCGACTGCTTACAAAACAACTAACAGTTCACCAAAATAAACTTTTATTGTAAAAAATATCGACTGCTTACAAAACAACTAACAGTTCACCAAAATAAACTTTTATTGTAAAAAATATCGACTGCTTACAAAACAACTAACAGTTCACCAAAATAAACTTTTATTGTAAAAAATATCGACTGCTTACAAAACCACTAACAGTTCACCAAAATAAACTTTTGTAAAAAATATCGACTGCTTACAAAACAACAGTTCACCAAAAAAATATTACGGCTTAAAATGCAAGAATAAAACTAATCAGAGTATATAGTGTAAAATTATTTTTGATAAAAAAATTCAAAAGCAGTTTTTTTTTTTCATTTAAACTGTTGTTATTTCTTTTTTTCAAAGATAAAATGAACTATTCGTTTTTGTTTTTTTTTAAATCTACCTCTTCCGCTTTTTCTTCTAGTTTTTTGAATATTAAACAACAAAATAAATAAAGTTTATATAAAAGTTTAAAATATAGATATGAGTATTTCTTATTAAAAATATAAAATGGTAATAGTAGATTATTTCTTTAATATTTGTTTTTTATCTTTAATTTATGTACTTGGTTTATTTTATTTTTTAATTAATTATTTACCTTATTTTTGTTGTTGGATTAATTAGAATACAATTTTTTTTGTTGTTTTTTCCATAGGTTTTCAAAGATGTTTTACAGACTATTGACAATCTATTGGATTCAAAAGTGACATGTATTGCAGAATCACAAATTAAAACGTCCTCCTCAACAAGAATTATAAAAGTTCTAACTGAGTTTGCTTTAATTTTCTCGAAACAATTAAGCAACTCCATTTCTATTTGTAAAGTCAATATTGGATTCCATATTGAAAAAGTTAAAAAAGGAAATATAAAAATATCAGCACAACAGTTACCAGACAATAGTGTTAAAATTGGTTTTAACAACGACGCTGATTTTATAAAAAAAACATACGTATTCATGACACTACCAAGTGATGTTTTTCACGATGAAAATGAAGTTATTTATTCATACTTTTTTCGCTACGATTTTTTTTTATTGGATGAAAACAACTTAATACAACTTGCTAAGAAGAGTAGATTAAATCACAGAATTCTTCAAAGTACAATCTTATCAGCATCTGTTGTTAATAGGAATGTTTCTAACCTAAATAATCCAATTATTATAAAGTTTAAAAAAACGAACATAGGTTTGGGTACCAGCAGCTGTAAATACTGGGTTGAAAACGTTGGTAAGTTTATATTGTTATATAATTTTTTTAACTCGTTTAAAACGTGTTTTTTTTTATGTTTAGTTACTTTTCTTTAAGAAACTGGCATTAAAAATGTTTACGGAAAATGGTTGACAAATGGTTGCTATAGAAATAAAACTGAAACAAATATTGAAGATTTTTTTACATGCTACTGCGATCACCTAACTAACTTTGCTGTGTTACTTGATATTAATCAGAGTTTAGATAACCCATTGGCTTTAAAAATAATTGCATATATTGGTTGTGGAGTTTCGTTATTAGGATTAGGACTTTCTTTGCTGACGCTCGCAATGTTTCGGTAAAAAATAATTTCATAAGTATTTTTTTTTTTTTATTTTTTTTTTTTCTCTAAATAAACTTTAATAAAGTTAAGGTAACGGTTTTGCTAAAGATCATTACCAAAAATAGCAATTTTGGAAAAAATACTTTCCTCTGCTGCCCAGCAATATCTAAACTCTCCATATAGTGGTGTCTGTTAGCAGACGGAGCTTGCAATTCTATAACCCAAATCAATCAATTAATATTAAAATAGAAGTGAAGCATGTATATATATATATATATATATATATATATATATATATATATATATATATATATATATATATATATATATATATATATATATATATATATATATATATATATATATATATATATATATATATATATATATATATATATATATATATATATATATATATATATATATATATATATATATATATATATATATATATATATATATATATATATATATATATATATATATATATATATATATATATATATATATATATATATATATATATATATATAATATTTTAACGATATTTCGCTGAATAGGTCAGCGATAATTTTTATTCTAATAAAAAATCAATTTACATATATAATATGTAAATTGATTTTTACATCAAAATATATTTAAAAATAGTTATATGCTATCTTTTTATTAAAATCAATTTACATGAATTTATAATTTTAATCCATTTTTGAAAATTATGCATGGACCGCGGCAGAATCTTTTGATATTTCAAGTATGACATTTTCAAGTTTTGTAAAAACTTAATTATTTCGTGCTCAGGAAAAATATAAATGTTTTGCAAAAAACTGTAGTGAGTAAAACCTGGCACAAATATATCTAAAAATGTTTGTTTAAACTTTATTTTTTTTATTAATCATTTCACATAAGCATGAACCTAATAAGTTTAAAGATTGCACAATGCTTGAAAGTGTCATAACAAAACATAAAAAAATCCGACCGTATTCTGTCTAAATATATTCAGTTCAAATCAAAAAACATTCAAAAATCCGACCGGGTTTTTTCGGTGAATGAATATAACCGGGTTCTGAGAAAATACCTTTATTAGACATAAAAATAAGCTTATAAAAATTTGGAGTTTGCGTACACTCAAAAAAAAATTCCCTTATTTTTAAGAGAAAAAATAAGGAATTAATCCCTCAAAATCAGCACTAGTAAAGATTTACTTAAAATAAGGAAATATAACTTTAAGTAAATAGTTTTCCTTAAAAATGAAAAATTCCTAAATGTAATTAAGTAATCAAAGGGAACTTTTCCTTTCATTGAGAATTGTAATTAAGGCAATTTTTACTGACATTAAGGATTGTAATTAAAGGATAATTTCCTGATAACATTGAATATAAATAAGGCAATTATTCCTGACATTAAGAAATTTAATTAAGGGCATTGGGCCTGGTTTCAAAAAACAATTTTAAAGAATTGTTTTAATCGCTCACATTAAAAAAAACTGTGTCGCTAAATTACAAAATAGTTAATCGATGGGTAGTACCCAAGATCTAAAAAATTACCAAATCAAACGCATTAAATAATTTCACAAATCACAAAAAGTGACAAGTGTACAGCAAAATGGCTACTACAATAGTAACTTATCGGAAAATAAGTCGCAAGATTACAAGTATTAAAGTAGACTAAATTGTTTACACAACTAAATATTACACACAAATAAAACAAATTAATACAATATAATAACTGTGCAAGAGCAAAATAACACAGCCACTTGTACGACCAAGTATTCAAGTGAATACGATGTAATAAATGCAGCACAGGCATACAAATTTAAAAAGTAATTTACACAGCCAAATATTCGTGTAAATACAATGTAACAACTGCAGCATGAGTATACAATGATTGAAATTTTGGCCACTTATGCAGCCAAAAATTCAAGCTAACACAATATAATAACTGTTGTATGATGAGCACACAAAATAATTATTCATTTAACTATGCCAAGATTTCAGACATCATCAGTGGTGATTACTAGTTAGTATATATATATATAATTTTATTTATTTAACTATGCCAAGCTTTCAGACCATCATCACTGGTTAGCTTGCAGTGGTCAAGTGGTCAGTCATCAGTGGTCAGCAGTGGTCAGTGAGTCAGCAGTGGTCAGTCAGCAGTGGTCAGCAGTGGTCAGGTCATGCCAAGATTTCAGACCATCATGTTTCAGATCATCAGTGGTGATCACTAGTTAGTATATGTTACAGTTGAAAATGTCGAGCACATTGTTGATGGTGCCAACCATTCGTTTCTTGCGAAAGGTTAAATTATATTTGTAGTTGCAAAAATTTCTCTAAACCGTAAGGATACTCAAAATTAAAAATCCAAAACACCTTAAACATGTAATCCCAGTGTTCCACAATCAAAAAATCAGTCAAGAAAACTTTTCCAATGCACAAAATTCTCCCAGTAATTTTGTTGAGATCATTCGACAAATATTCAAGGTACAGTTTGGGATGAGCCTAGTTTTTGCGGAACATCTATAAAATTGCAAGTAGTAGGCTAAATATAAAACAAAAAGTACATATAATACGAACTAGGACATTTCCAATTCAATATAAATTTAAAATATTCACAGTTTATGCTATAAAAACTATAAAGTTAAATTAGTTTTAAGTTAGTGTTAACTTGAGAAAATAAAGACATTTTAAGATAAGTGTAGATTTATGTACTGTAAAAGAAAACTAGACATTGTATTTTAATAAATATGAACAACAATGCATTCAAAATGCTCACCGCTCTACATATCAGCAAATCAAACGTTTTGTCTAGCTTTATATTTAATTTTTGGAAATTGAGCTAAACTTAAATTCCAAAATCAACTTTCAAATTTTTGTTGATTCACTAATTAATCTGAGTAAATCTATTTAAGTTTATCTAAGTTAACCTATTAAATCTATTAAGTTTACCTTTAAGCTACTGGATTTATATGTATATATATATATATATATATATATATATATATATATATATATATATATATATATATATATATATATATATATATATATATATATATATATATTGCTAGTAATTCATAAACAATTTATGACGAAAAGAAGCTCTCTGGAGGGGCTAAGTCAAGTGAGTAAGTAGGATCATTCTATACTTCGTTATGACTTAAAAACATGCTGTTTCTGTGAATTCCGCATATCTTACCAGATACTGGAAAACAATTAGGAAAACTTTTATTTATACTGTTGCTTAAGTCTCTTGTTGCTTTTCGGACATCTTTTTATTCCTATTTCTCATCTGTTTTTTTTTTGTGTGTGAAAGGTCATTTCAAATGAAAGGTATCTGCATTTAGGAACAACCATACATTAGAGTCTTTTAATTCATTGAGAGTATGTGGGTTTTCATTTTCAAAAAACTATACTATTATAGCTTATATAATGTGCTCGTTGGAACATTGATCTTTAGCTTTTTAAAGTTAGCATTTTGTTTTTCGTTTTTAAAGCAAGTGAGGTTTTGAGACATGATTTTTAGACTAATTTTGAGTTTTAATAAATTTGACGCTTTTTGCAGTGAAGAAAACCAAGTGTTCTTTCTTTAAAATTCGTAACATTTTAATATAAGCCTAGATTTACCAGAGACTTGGTGCTCAAAAATAGAGAATTTGTGTTATTGAATGCCCTGGGGTAATTTTAGGTAACGAGAAAGCGTGTGTTGCAGGTACTTTGAGAAATCAATTTTTTTCCTTAACGTATGAAAATTAATATAACATTCGTTATAAAAACTCAACACTTCCTTTTATTTCAAACAACTTTTTTAACTGCATGAAATTGCTCGGAAAAAGTCAATGTTTTATGAAACTTTAAACCGCAACAATCTATGAACTACTTTGCATTATGGTCTCAAATTTTTAAATTTTTCTTATCAAATAATTTGAAAACATCCCTGGATTTTCTTAGAAAATTTAATTACTCAACCATTTCTATTATATTTAGTAATTTTAAGGTAGGGTAAAATACTTTAAGTGCAAAAAATAAAATGAAAAAAATGCTTAAAAAACATCACATTTTTGGTATTTTTATTACGGGAAAAAATTCTGGAAGATTGTTGTATCTTAGTAGATTCTTTTTGATATTTTTATAGTTTCGTAAATGACAGAAATTCTTTTGGGACTAAATAGTATATCCGTAAAGTATTTTCATATATCCAATGATTTTGAAAAATAATTTGGCACAAGACTCCAGACATTGTAATCGTCTTACTTAATTGTTACATTTTTACTTTCTGAGGCTTTTAGCATAGTCTATTGTTTTTTTGTTTTTTTTTTCTTTTTTTTTTTTTTTTTTTTTATCCTTTTTTATAATATAAGTACTGTCTTTTTGTAAAATTTCATTTACCAGCATTTAACACGGTTTCACTAGCACTAAGAGTTACGTTCAAACATTGCTTGAATATTGGCTTAGTAAATCACTTGTAACAAAGCTATTCCTTTTATTAAAAGATCATACTTGGAAATCATACTTGGAACAACATTGCTTTAATAAAGTAAATAAAATAAAAGCTAAAAAAAAAATAAATAAATAAATAAAGTAGATAAATATTTTGACTAAAACTGATTTCAACTTTTCCTGATAAGCTTTTATAATATTACTTTTTTTGATACAGAGTCCTAATAATGTTAACAAGTACCATGCTACAAAATACACAGACTGTTAACAAGTACCATGCTACAAAATACACAACTAATTAGATAAAAATATCTTGATACTATATTTAAATAAAAATATCTTGATACTATATTGAATGCCCAAAGGTATATAAAAATATGAAAACTACGTTAAAATTCTTTTCGCAGAATAAGTTAGAGCATAATGGCTTAATAAAAGTTATAAAATTTTTTTATAGAAGCACAAAACAAAATATTATTGACTAAAATATTTGTTTTTAGCTTTTATTATATTTTTTTTATGTTGCTTTTATTATATTTACTTTATTATAATCTTTTTATTTATTTATTTATTTATTTTTATATTATATATATAATTTTTATATTATATATTATAATTTTTTAGTGAGCATTTAATTATACATATTTAGAAGGTTTATTAGTGACTAAATATTTAAATATACATATTTAGAAGGTTTATTGGTGACTAAATATTTAAATATATATATTTAGAAGGTTTATTGGTGACTAAATATTTAAGCATATTAGTGCATTCATCGACTAAATATTTAAGCATTGGCGCACCAAAATGTGCATTATAATTAATAATTATTATTAGTAAATATATATTGACTAATTTGAGTAGCCATTGATTCACCATTAACCATTACATAAACACATGGATTTTTAGCCAATTTACAGGCATTGCTTAAAAAAACAGAGTGGAAATAAATAGCGTTTTTAGCGCAATAAATTTTTTTCTGATACAAAGCTAATACTTCAAAACCATGAAGGTAATAGAATAAAAGAATATTTAACATGCAAAACCTTTTATTGCATAATTTATTCTACATGATTAACAGTCATAAACACATAAACTATCTTTTGGCTATGTTTAGGTTTTTCTCCTAATGATGATCTGTTTAAACCTCATCGGGAAGCTTCTATTACCTTCATGGTTTTAAAGTGATGGTTAAAAGCCTCGTGAGTTTTAAACACATAAAATGGTTATTGAAATTAAAAGTTAGCAACAATTTTTTTATTATTATTAAATCGTCACTTGAAGAACTGCTTTGTTCTTAAAAAAGATTGAGCACTCTTTTTGTGAATTCGCAAACTCAGTTGGCTCTCACAAAATTATACACATTTACTATTTAATATTTATATTTAGAAATCTAAGGAAGAAACTTCCTCAGAAAATTCTGATTTGTCTTTGCATTTCTTTAATGGGTCTACTGCTTGTGTTTTTGATTGGTGCAGAGAAAACATCGCCTAGACAACACTGTCAAATTATTGCAGCTGCGTTGCATTATTTCATACTGACAACATTTTGTTGGATGTTGGTTGAAGCTTTTAATTTCCACCGTTCTTTGGTTGCAGTTTTTAATAAAAGTAGTGATGAAAATATCTTTAGAAATGCCAATGTGATTGCTTGGGGTAAGGCCTTTTTCTAAATACTTCTTTATTTAGTGATTCATATTTTTTAGAATCTGTTTTAAAATTGTGTCTTAAATTTTGTTGTTATGTTTTATTAAATAAAAGTTAACATGAAAAAAAATTTATCTTTAAATCTTGATTGTGGAATTTTTTTGTTGAGCAATTTTCTAAAAATAGAATTTAAAAAAAAAAATGCTTATAATTACAGCAATGCCAAAAATGTTAACGAAGATAACTATAAATTTTATTAATTTTTTAATTGAACCTTGAAATAGGTTGATACAATATACATTAATTTTTTATTATATTTTAAAGTCGAACATCCAAGGAGCTAATTAGGGTAGAGCAGGGCATATAGGGACACAAATGTAGGGCATATAGCAAGAATTGCTAGTTGCGGATAAACTAATCATATTTAACACAGCTTTTTATAAGTTTTCTAAAATTCATTGATATAAGAAAATCGAAAAACAAAAAATAAAATTTAAAAATTAAGCTATGACAACCAAAAGAACCTTAATCAAACGAAACCTTAGACTAGCAAAATTTCAACATTTTGCCAGTGGGTGGGGCAAAACGGAACAGTTAAAAAGCAGCAGTTATTTGTTAATTAAAAATACTCTTAAACAAACAAACCTAAAAAATTGTTTTAAAATTTAAGTAGAGCAAAACTAGTATATATTATATAATAGGTAATTTCTACTAAATTAAAATTAAACTTAAAAAAAAACACAAAAAATATCCAAAAATGTTACCAAATAATAAATGTATTATCTGGTAACATTTTTCATGAGCTGGCTTATTAGCATGATATGCCAATGTAGAGCAAATTTAAATACGCCATATGTATCAGCAGCTTTTCAAATTCTAAGTTCGTTTGTTTTTACAGCTAAAACTGCATTTCATCCCATTTTGGATAATTGATCTTTCTTATATAATTTCTTACCATCGTTATTTACATTCAACACTATTAATAATCGAAGTTAAGTTATAAATAGCAATTTCTTTAAATTTATTACTAATATTACTTTTCTAACTAATAAAAATAATATTCTAGATTAAAAATAAAATCACAAAGCTGTAAACAGAATGGTAGTAATATAATCAGTTATATAAACAACTTGTTGTCCCAATACGCCCCGCAAATGTCATTTTACTGAAGTTAAAACTATTCAAAAAGTTCAATTCCAAATATTTTTTTAAAACCAGATTCTAGAAGTAGATAAAAAATACTGTCTGAAAAATATAAACTTTTTATAAATAAAGCAAATTAGCAATAGTTTAAGATAAATTTTTGTCGTTGTATCGCGTAGAAAAAATAAGCAAATTTTGTTTTTTGCAATCTTACTAATGTATTTTGATACTTTTAATGCATTTTGGTATTTCTAAAATTATTTTTTATTTACAATAAAGATGCACAAAAATTTTTTAAATATTTAATTTAGAGTATTTTATCGAAAAAAATTTTGAAAAAAAAAATAATTTTAGCTGAAATATAAGGCTTCAGGCATAACCTTCCTGTTATGCCCTACTGTCTCGATATGCCCCGCTCTACCCTATTTTGCACGATGCAAATTTTTTGCCGGCATATTTGGAAACCCTGCGCATAAGCATAAATATGCAAAAATTTGCGCATTTTGATTCGTTGATTTTGAAATAATGCACAGTGTGATCAAAGTGTGGCAAACCCTACAAAAAAAATTTTTTAATTTTGAAACTTTAAGAATCGCTTAATATTATATTTGTTAATTAAATATTACCTGACTTTTCATTAAAAAGTATATATATATATTTTTTTCAAAACTTTGATTTCTTATTTTAAAGTACTCTAAGTTTGTTTTTTGTCATATAAAAACTTTTATATTGTTATGTCAATATTTAAAAAAATAGAAAAATTGTTTTCTATGCATTTAATATAAATATTTTATTTTTAAATTGATTTTACTACAACATTTAAAAGGAGTATAGATACCCTCGTTATCATGTATAATGTAAATGTAAGAAAATGTAATAAAATTTAAATAATGAAGTTGCAAGTTTTAGACATTAGCAGTACTATTTATTTGTTTTCTATTTTGTAATTTCCAAAAACAATAAAGTTATATGTAACTGATAAAAACGCGATAACAACGTATAACAAAGTAAAGAAAGGCAACGCTGTTTTGTTTTCGAAAGATTTTAAGTTTTGTTTACGAAAGCAATTTTGAAAATCTGTTGATAGTTTGTCAATTATTTTGAACTTCATTTAAAACGCAATATTTGAAAAGATAAATAAAATTTGATTAGATTTTGATTTTTTGACAAAACCATTCATGACTGGAAAAACTTTTAACTAAAACCTGTTGTATGTTTACTATGTATAAAATTTATTAAAATATATACAACTTATTTCTATTGTGTATTTGATGATGAAATCATTGTTAAAGAATTATTATTAGTATAAAGTATTATTATAATTTAAAGTGGACGCCCTTCAGTTTTATTTTGAAGACGTGTCTGTGCGAAAAAAAGATCGTTTAGCATTAAACTTTTGGATAAGTTCAAGTCGAACCAACTTTTATATACAGCGATTGAAATATTGAAAAGATTTATAAAACTAAAAGTTTTATAAATCAGGGTCGCTGACGTTAGAACAGTCATAAGCGCAAGTTTTAAATTCTAATTAATCCAAAGTGTTCTTTTAAAAAAAATTTTAAAAGTTAAATTAAAATTACGCCTGTACCGAATTTCGGCTCCAACTCCTGCTCCGGCCGAAATCCGGCCATTTTTACAAATCCAGCCGAAATCCGGCTCCGGCAAAATTTTAGCAGATCCGACATAATTTTGGCTGGATTTCTGAGTTATGGTCAGATATTTATTACATCTTTCTTGCCCGTAATAACATGTATACTTAATATTTTATTTTTACAAATCAATGTTTTTAGTAATTCTATAGTCTATGAACTTCGTGTTTGTTTTGGTATCTGTATTTACATTTCTTTACAATTTAAATAGCTAAGCCTAATTTCAAACAACAACGCAACAAAAAATTCTCAAGGGAAGACACACGATATTCTGCAATAATGCAAAAGCAAAGACTATGAGGTCAATCCTAATCAAGTCATTGGATGAGCGTTTTAGAGGCATTGAGGAGAAAACTTTTTTTTATAGTGGTGACACTGGTTAATCCATAACTTCAAACTAAACTCTTCTCATTACAGGCAACACTGACAGGTGAAAAAGCAAGATTGACGTCAATCTGAGCATGCTGAGCAGCAGATTGACAAAACTAAAGAAAATCCAGCAAAACACGTCCGGCTGGATAATTCTTATACATTATCATCATTACAATGGCAATATATATAGATGAAATTATCCAGTCTTCGCCCGCTTGTGGCACAGCACATGAACAACAATTACCAACAGGCATTGATACTCAGCTAAGCCAATATCTGGAAAAATCAGAAATATATAGACACGCTGATTCACTACAGTGGCGGAGTGACAACATCCCGGAAAAAAAAGTTCTATAGAATTTCTTTAAATTTTTGAAACATATGACCTATAGAAACTTTATAGAATTTATATAAAATGTCTATTAATTTCTATAGAAATTCCTATAAAACTTTTTAACAACAAAAATGAAGTTTAACAGAAAACAACTGTCACTTGGTATTCTGAATAGTCAACGTTGTGGACCATTTTTAGCACCAAATAGGGATGTACAGGATTTTGGCTCCTGTAGTTTTGCTTCGAATTCCGGCTCCGGCACCGATTTCAGCCGGATCCGTTAGTAAAAATCCGGCAAATCCGACTCTGGCCAGATTTGGAAAAATTAAATCCGATACAGCCCTAGTTAAAATGCAAACAACAGTCAAATGATTCGAGTGAACTTAATACTAATGAATTGCTTTTTATAACTTGCTTACTTTCCCTAGAACTGTATTGATTCCTTTAAATAACTTGTTTTTTTGTTTTTTTATCTTTGAAACAATATAGTTTTTCTAGAGCTATCGTCAACTAGTTACTGTAGGCTTCTCAGAAATAAGTATAGAAAAATAATCAAAAGTAGTAGTTCTTGCAAAATATGAGTCAATTGATGCTTCTATTAAAAATAAAGCATTATTCATTGTATCTGTTCTATTTGAGAACGGTGAAAGAAATTAAAATCCCGATGTAAAATTGGCTAGCAAATAACTAGCAATATTCGTAACGATAAAGACAATCGCTGTGTTTATCTTAGCGACAAGTCGTTGAGATAAAGACATTAATTTTTCCATGATGTTCGCTTGCTAGAAAAGCTAATACAAAGGTGTATCACATTATCGTATTACTTACTTGTTCATATTATGCTATATTACTATTTCTGTTAATATTATATTACGTTTGCATGTCAAAAACTTATTTACTTACTAGATTTATAAATGGCTTTGTAAACCAACTTTACACAACACACGTTACTGGTATTGTGGTTTATCCTCCTCCGGCTAATTGCCATCTAGAGGCCACATTACCAAGGCCGCAAAGTCTGGTTTACCTTTATAAGGAGCGTCATAACCCGCTCTACGGACCGAGAGTAAGGTGAGTTTGGGAAAAACGAAGATATGTTAGAGTGAAAGATAGAAGAAGTTGTGTTAGAAAGATAGGATAGAGAAAGCGGACAGGATTGCACACAATGTTGCAAACGAAGGTGTAAAAGCGCTGTTAGTCGAACCGAGAGACTTTAAGAGTTCATTTGATATCAACTTTTTCTTTGTCTCAACATTTTTTTTATTTTTTTTTTGTTTCAACATACGTTACTCAGAGTAACAGATTTCTATTCCCGGTGGGAAATGAGCTAGCGACTAGCGAGCGACTAGCGAGCGACTAGCTAGCTCTTTAGCAATTTTGAAGCAATTTTTTTTTTTCTTATTTTATTTTTTTCTAATATCTTTAACATCTTAAAAAATTCGATTTTTACTGTTGAATCTATTATAATTATGAGGTAATTGAACTTTAAAAATTGCGATTTTGTAGCAATGCGTCGCTAGCTAAATATCGTAGCTTTGTAGTTCGCTACAAAATATCTACATCTATACATAATCTATAGCTGGTTGATAGCTACATATCAAAATTTTTTAGACAACGATTTTATTACGGTATGACACTAGCTATAATAGCCAGTGGGCCTTTATCTTATTAAGCTAGCTGTCCTCATAGCCAAACAGCTGTCTTTATCTGTACAAATATCGATAGCTTTTCGCTTACTTAAAATAGATAGCGATCCTCGTGAGGATGATGCGTAATTTGCCAGCAGTATAGATTGCCTATATATTTAAAGTTATGTTTTTATCAGCTACAAAGCTACAATATGTAACTATCTACATATTGTTTTAAAACCTAAACTAAAAATCCGATGTGAAAATACATTTTATTATAGCAATATATAACTAGAGCAACAATGTAGATGTAGGATTGTCGATTGTTTATAGTTGCTATTTTTTATAGTTCATAGCAAAATTTGCTATGAACTATAAAAAATAGCAATTTTTTTGCATTTATCATTTTTAAATTTACAGTGTATATTGTAAATTTAACATTAATAGAAAACATAAAAAATTCAAACTATTATTTCCACAGTAAGCAATACTTGTCAATGCTTTTCTGTGCGTCGTTCATTTCCAATCGAAATGAACTATTTTTAATAGTTAAAAAAAAAAAAAAAAACAAAGTCAGTCATAGCGCTATAACATATAACATTACATACTTGGATAGGCTTTTAGGATATATGCTCCATATCTCTTACACAGTGGCGTTCCTAGTTATGGTGTCACCCGGGGCGGCAAATAGGGTGTCACCCATATATTATATGTAATTATTTTTATATACGAAATTATTAAAGCAGTATTTAGAAACGTTGACACATGTAATTTTAAACCTTATTTTCGACAATAATAATTTAGTGTCTATAACTCTCTATAAATAATTCTCTTCTATAACAGAGAAAATAATTATTTGAAAATAAATTGTTGCCAAATAATTATTATCTCTGTTTTAGACGATAATAAATTATTATCATCTAAAATCGTCTAAAATCAGCTTTATTTTTTTATATGCTTAAAAAAACAGTAGTACCTGGATTTGATTTGATTTTAAAGTATAATAATAAAATAGCAAACCTACTGATTTTTTAACTTCTTATCTGTGAAAAATAAGTTAGACGTTCACTTACCCTTCGTTAAATACGCAGATCTGTCCTACAAATGAATCTATGCCACTGATGTGTTCATGTATAACAACATATTAATGTACTTAATTATTTACTATCTATATGAACTAAATATATTTTTTAAAATAATATGCACAAAAGTTTGAACTTTGTATAGTTTTTATTCACTATGCAATCACAACACTAATTTTTTATCACAAAACTAAATTTTTCAATCATTAAACTAAATTTTTCCATCACTAAATTATTTCTTTAATCACTAAACTAAATGTTTTTATCACTAAACTAAATGTTTTTATCACTAAACTAAATGTTTTTATCACTAAACTAAATGTTTTTATCACTAAACTAAATGTTTTTATCACTAAACTAAATGTTTTTATCACTAAACTAAATGTTTTTATCACTAAACTAAATGTTTTTATCACTAAACTAAATGTTTTTATCACTAAACTAAATGTTTTTATCACTAAACTAAATTTTTTTATCACTAAACTAAATGTTTTTATCACTAAACTAAATGTTTTTATCACTAAACTAAATTTTTCAAACACTAAACTAAATTTTTTAATCATTATATAATTATTATCCTAAATTTTCATAACACTTAACCTTTAAAATGCTCCTTTTCTAACTTTTAATCTTGCAAATTTATCAATTACGTTATCAAAGTCAATGCTTTTTCTCAAACTCACTCTCTATATATAATATTGCAAGATCAGAAATTCTCGATTGGCCCATAGTTGATCGTAAATAATTTTTTATCAGTTTTAATTTTGAAAAGCTCCTTTCTCATGATGCAACGGACACGCAAATAGTTAAGAATAATCTTAGGGTGAGAGAAAGCATTGGAAGCGTTTCTGTGAAGTCCCATTCTGTGATGAAAGTCAAAATATCTAAAGCTGTCCAATTTTTAACTACTTCCAAATTAATTCCTGCTGCTTTAAGATGTCGCTTGAGTTATGGAATTTCCAAAAATAGTTCATCATGGGATATTTCATCATAAAATGAAGGTAATTTTTTAATAGATAACGTCAAGTCTTCTTCATTATTATGTTCAGAAACTAAAAGTTTAGCTTGGACAATTCATGCTCCTTTAATATAGGGTCATACGTTGAAAGCAAATTCACTAATTCTAAAAAATTATCTTTATTCAAAGACAATTTATCCTCCTGATGCCCACGAAATGGCAAATTTTGCTTAGCAAGAAACAAAGTTACATCTAAGAGCCTATATAATATGTTTCGCCATTTTTTCTTTTCATTTTCTGTAAAAGAAATAATTTCGGTATCGATTGTATTATTAGATTTTAAATTTGATTCCAGAATCTTCCATTTTTCCAAATATCGCAAATGATTGTCAGATGATTCATGCTCATATACTTTTGGATTTAATTTCCACCATTTTTGAAATCCAGTGACGAATTTTGATGTCAAATTGGTAATATTACTGGCAAATAATCGACAACAAAAACAGTATAAGTTTCCACTGTTGGGTGAATATACCATCCTTAAACGTAAAATTTTTTCACCATTTTTCATTTGTTTATAAAATCATTCAGAGGAAAGGTGACGATCATGGCCTTTCATTTGAGTGACATTTCGTTGTATTACATTAAATGGTCCATCTTTGTTTTGAAATGTAGAACTTCCCTTTTTAATAATCTCAATTCGAAGATGGTCTTGAAGCGGTAATTTCCAAAAATAGACGTCAGAAAAGATTTTAAAGTTAGTTTTTCCATCACGTTTCTCTAAATCGGTGATTTCTAATACTTGTGGAGATTCAGCTTCATTTTCTTAGTCGTTTTTTTCCATGTCAACAGTGAAGGTGCTATTATTAGAACCTTCATTTTCACTTTCTTCTACTACTAATGGAGTTTGTTTCAAAGTACTATCTTTTGAAGAACATTGGCCGTCATTTGGGTTATCTATTTATTGAAGTATTGACCTTGCATATTTTTTAAGGGATTTAAGTTTAGCTTCCTTTAATTTTCTTTGTTGATGTCCATTTAATCTCTTCATTTTATGCACCCCACGCGGCATTGTTATACAAAATATTTAAAACTTTAAACTAAATATTAAAACAAAATTTTAAAACTTACAATTTAAGCATTATAAACTTTTTAAATTAAATGGTATTTATTAAGCAATAAAAATGAAAAATTAAAACAGTAATATGTAATATGGCAAATTTTTAAAACTGTTATCATAAACAAAGAATATGTTTTCGAATGTTTTAGTTCGAATTAGGTGGTTTTGATATTCTGCAATGTGATGCAGTACTAACATTGAAAAAATATACGAATAAGACTAAAAAAGCTGATAAAGTGAAAAACGGATAAAATCGCACTCACACAAAGTTATCCAAACCCAAACAAAATTTGAGTATGTTTTGATTATGAAGAATTTTTTTAGACGACATTAAGTCTTTATTTCATTTTGTTTATATTATAAGAAGAAAGCTAAGCGATTATATTTTCTGAATAATGATAACTATATCTTTCAGCATTCTGCATTTCGTAGGTCGTGTAAATAAATACCCACTTATTTTTTTATGTAAGACTGTTTAATTATAAACCAAAATAAAATATAAGATATTAATAAATTGGGTGTCACCCAAAAGTGGATGACACCCCGCCCCCCGTAGGTACGCCACTGCTCTTACAAGATATCAATTATAAAAAATAAAAAATATTACTTAAATATAAATAAATAAAACACAATCTAAAATTAATTTTATTTTTTTATATTTTTAGGTATTCCTGCGTTAATTGTTATAACTACAGGCATTTTAAAACCAGATCAGTTGGGAAACCATAAAATGTGAGTTCATAAAGTTATGCTTGATTTTTTTTCTTTTGCTTTACACACACACACACACACTTACACACACAAAATCACAGCATAGTAGGGTTATGGCTTTTTTTTGACGCATATTCTTCAGTCATAGATTGATGAATATTTGTACAAAACTAATGAAAAAAACATTAATTCAATTTTCTTGTTATAAATGGTCACCCACAAACCTAAAACTCAAATTTACCTTATATGCGTACGGAAAAAATTTCAAACAATGCATTTCAAACTGCATTGTAAAATTGCTCAGTAAACAAATGATCAGCCCATCTATAAGAGATGATTCTAAAAATATCAAGTAGTGAGTTTCTTCTTTCTGGTAAAAGAATAAAGGCAAATTCCTATACTAGAGAGATAGAAGAAGAATTAAAATTGTATATTTATGGTTCTTTCAGTTTTTTTTAGTAAAATGTCTTTGTGAGTGGCTGACAATCCTATCCATTTTCCAGTGTTTATATTTTCTTGAAACCCACAGTGTACTCTACTAAAAGTAAACAAATTTAAATATTCAAAACTAGTTTTAAAATGATTAATATAACCTTAATATTACTACTCTCTGAACACAAATAGTACAGTCAAATTTCTATTTATTGAGTGTAAACTAAATTCAGAATATTTGCTGATGCTCCACCTCCACAGTATAAAGGTTGAAAGTATCTGTCTGGAAGGTATTTGTTTAAAGCAATGAACCATGTCAAGGTTCCTTCCTACTCATGTGTACAATTTTTAATGCAGAACGATTGAAGACATATGACAGAAAAATACGCTTTCAATTAGCAAACTGCTTTTCGCTGCACATTTTTATTCCTGGATTACATATAAAATACTATTGAAATGTGCAGTAACGACTTTTTAGGGCACAGGGCTGTTTTAAAGCGTCTTTCTATGATTAATCAAAAAAAATTTTAGAGTTTCTATTAAAAATATATTTTTTTATGAACCGAAGCCTCCAAAACTGTGGGCCAGGGCTATAGAACTGGCAATGTAACTCTATAAAGAAATATTTTTTTAATCGAATATTCAACTTTTGCTTTCGTGAGCAATCCAAAATACTAATTGAAAATCCAATCCAATTCAAAATACTAATTGAAAAATTCTGCATAAAATTCTCCAATGTTTGTAAGCATTAAACTTCACTGAAGGATTTTTTTTTTTTAATTGAATCATTGTATCAAACTTGTAAAAACTTTAGCTGTTTATTAAAATTACAGGAAAAGAATTACATTAATTTATATAAATTTTAGATGCGTTGTACGAGGAAATCCTTTTTATTTCACTGTTCTTCTTCCTGTTTGTCTGATTTTGGTGGTTAACTTTATTGTGTTGGTAATCATTATGCTCAGTTTATCAACAAAAAATGATATTACGAATAAAGTTACAGGAAAGAAAAATACTATATCACGAGCAAAGATTTCATTTATGTGCTCGACTCTTCTTGGTTCATCATGGATATTTGGTGTTCTGGCTGTAAAAGATTTTTCAACAGTATTTCAGTGGTTGTTCTGTGTTTCAACCTCGTTACAAGGTTTTTTTATTTTTGTGTTTTATATACTGAGAAATAAAAAGGTAATTGTTGAGTTGCGGTGTTGGCTGCTACGCTATCGACAATACAAGGTTTCATCAAATGCCGTAGAGTCGAAAATGAACAAAAAATGAATATTGACAATTGTTGTCCTTACGTTTTCTTAAACAATCATATTTTGCAGACTTTATTTTCTTTATACATTATTACATATGTACACACAATAAAATAAAAAAGTAGAAATTTCTACCTTAGGATAGGATATGTGATATACATTTTGTAAAGTATAATTTTCTACCCTTTAAGGTAGAAAATTGTATTGAAAACAATGATTTCTCATACAGATTACTACCTTAAAGGTATAATTTTGTGTGTATATATATATATATATATATATATATATATATATATATATATATATATATATATATATATATATATATATATATATATATATATTATCATTATCATTATCGTTGATAATATTATTATTAAGGCTGTTGATTAGTACTGACAGCGTCGCCGAGAGAAGGGGTTGCGAGGGACAGTTTGTCCCGGGTGGCAGATATCCAAGGGGCGCTAACTAAAATCTAGGTACCTAAATTAAAAAAAATAATAATAAAAAAAAAGGTCCTTCATATATAATATAGGTATAATTTGATAAGGGAGCCAATCAGGATTGCTGTCCCAGGCGGCGTGACAGCTCTTGGCAGCCCTGAGTACTCACATTTAATTTTGTTTGTATATTTGAATTTATTTCATACTTTTAATTTGAAATTGTAAGTATATTGTAGCGCCGAATTATAACTTTAATTACAAGTAACTTAAAAAAAAATTGATGACAATCCAAAAATCTAAAAAATAAATGATGTTTATTTTTAGACTTTTGCAACTTAAGTCAAAGTTTACAAAAGCGGCACAAAAATTTTTCTCAAAAAATCTTTAGAAGAAATTAGTTTTAAAGTATGTTGATTTTTCTCTTGAATGGAGTTATGTTTCATTCAAGAAAAAATAAAAGAAACTATTTTGTCTCGTGATGATAAATTTTTATACTTTTAAACGCCTATTAATTTACTTTATTATTTTTTGTATATATGCTATCTGATATTTATATGAATAGGCACTATATTTTTATCTAAAGTTTTTGCACTAGACCATGCAGGTGTAATAACGATTTTGATGAGATTTTGATTTTTTTATGTTTTTTTTTCTTAATATCATTAAATTTCTGTTTTGTATTATACTTATTTCTTATTGCATAATAATTCTTTTTTTTCTGTTTTTTTTTCTTTTCTTTTTTTTATGTATGTATATAAATATAAAAAATAAATATCTATATACAAAAAAATAAGTTAAAATAACACTTTGTAATTAATTTTGTTGTTGTTCCTTTCCATGAAATAAATTAATAAACAAATTACAAACTAAAAAACTAATGCAATTAAAGTAAATTTTTAAATATATATTTTCATCATCTTTATAATAAATTATTTACAATATTTTTTTGTTAAGATGTGACGGGAGCACGTAGAAGGTAAAAGTCTTATCAACTAGCCCCGTTGTATCATCTCCATATTAAACAAATAATAAGCTATCATATAAAAAAATATTACAATCTCAGCAAAGTAATGTTAAATACTTTTAAATAAAAAGTGTTACATTTTTTTTTTTGCATGCTATACAACTTAAAATTGAAGAAAAAAAAATTTAAAGATAAATAATGATATAAAGTGTGATATTGCTTTTTAATAAAAGGAGAAGTTGAAAAATATATGAGAATAAAAAAAAAAAAAATCGAAAATGAAATAAAATTTGAGATACGTCACGGTCAAGTAACTGTTTTTTAAGATAATTTTAAAAGTTTGAATTGAAATTATAATTTTACTTTTATTTGGGAAAATTAATACCACCAATGTGGCCCTCGGTATGTTATATAGAATTCGGATTGTTTGAACAAAGTTTTTGGCACCTGATAACTGAGCAACGAATGAATTGACGCTGATATATTTATTAGCATTTAATATATTTTTTTAAGATAATCGTTTTTGTTTTTTTTTAAATACACGTTAGTCTTGATGGATAAGTGCTTGTATAGCTGATTCATACTTTGTCATTCACTTATTATCTCATTAACCTCAGGAATCACAAAATGTCAGTATTTTTAGTTTGTTAAGGGAAAAACATTGGCACATAACATTTAAGTATTATCTTGATGGCTTTCTTGAGTGAAAGTCATCTAGATATTACTCAAACGTTATGCGCCAATATTTGAATGCATCAAAGTGAGAGGTCTTAGGGCTCTAGCCATTTATTAAGTATTATCTTGATAAACTCCCTCAGTTATTTATTGAGTTTTTAAGATGTCTTAAAGAATCAATAAATAACTATCTATCTTGTTGACTCTGAAAAAAAATTGCATTCTATAAAAAGTAGAACCTATTTTATACTACTTTTCATATATATATATATATATATATATACATATATATACATATATATATATATCTATATATATATATATATATATATATATATATATATATATATATATATATATATATATATATATATATATATCATATATATATATATATATATATATATATATATATAATAGGTTCTACTTTTTATAGAATGCAATTTTTTGGGTTCTCCTTTTAACGTTTTTACTTGATCCCATTTTATACTACCTGGACATTTAATTTTATGATACCCAAATGCAGATTGTTCCAATTTTTTTTTAAAAACATTTTTTTGGTGTTGTTTTGTTCTTGTTGCTATTTTCATCTTTGTTTTGCCGATGTTTTTTTGTTCACACTTGCATTCTATTAGGTACACTCCAGGATGGCTATTTGATGGTAGTTTTGTTTTGTTGCGTGAAGTTAACAAAGATTTAAGATTTGCACTAGATTTAAAGACTGCCCTGTAACCTGCTTTCTTAGAGATTTTTCGAAGTTTTGGTGATAATATTGGGATCCAGGATATTATATAACCAAGGTAGAGAAAAACAGTTATGCTTAAGTATTTTTACAAAATATTTTGAGAATTTTCGCAAAATATTTTAGAATTTTCACAAAATACCTCGAAATAATTTTGTTTTGCAGAGAAATCTGCGAGCTGTTAACTTTCGCTATCAACTTATATCGCCAACTTGTGTATGAAATCTCTTTTTGATGATCAATTCTTACATAATACGATTATAAAAAAACAACAAAAATAAAATTTCATTTTAAAATAAATTTTTCAAATGAAATTAATTTTGACTGGTGTAACTTTTTCAGGAATATCTTTATGCAACGCGTGTTTATTTTGTGTTAATTTAGTTAGTGTAGGTGGTAGATTTTAAAATTTATAAAATTGGAAGCAGAAATTGCATAATCAGTCATCTTACCGCGGTCATGTGACCAAATGATTTAATTTTTATTTTTGATTTTTCCACTTCGAAAGTTAAAACTCATGCAGGCAATGAATCACTATGATAACACAAATCTTTATACTGACCAGGTCTGTATATACATATTTATACAGACTTGCAAAACAACACTAAGTTTAACAATCAGCATGTGTTTCTTAGCCAGAATACCCAAAAAAAAGCAGTATCAAATTGCTTATGAGATGAAACAATCCTTACTTGTGTGGTTTATAAAGATTTTTTTATTGTATTTCAATTTTTTGACACTTTAATGAGCTTTAAGTTAAAATGAGATTACGATTTTTATATAAAGAACGCAAATTAATGCAATTTATTTAAGTCTTTATTGAGCTTTAGGGGCAGGTATGGGGCTAGTTGCTATTTAAATATTGAATATTTCTTGATATAAAAATTGAATATTCTTACAAAATCCAATACCGCGGACCGTTTCTATGGAAACATTTTTCAAAACTTATCACAAAAATAATAATGTTCAACACATCTCTTTGGAAAAATTTAGAAAAGAATCTAAGAATCTCTTATTACAAAAAGACTTTGATTTAAAATATCTCTTTTAAAAATAATACACAAATAATATAAATTATCTAAAAAAATAGTTATTGACACTACTTCTCTTTTGTTGCAATTTTAATCAAATTTAATTTTTTGTTGAAAAATTTTAATACTTTTAAATTATTGTTAATCTTTGATATAATGCGTTATATTTCAACACTAATATTTATATTATGTTATTAGTTATATTGTAACTAACGTATTTAAAATTCTTGTTATGTACTTAGCTACTCTTCATTTTTTATATTAGCTGACAATTTTTTAGTGTAAATTTTATGATGGGGCTTGTTGATAAGACAATTTATGTCTTCTGCTTGCTCCAGTTCTCTTATTAACACGATTTATTTCATTGTAAATTTTAATATATGACAAAACTCTTTGCTTAAAAAATTAAAAAAAATAAAAAAATATCAGTGTTCAACCCTGAACCTTATAATTCAATTTTTTTTAATTATGGTGGGAGGGGGGCGGAGGGAAGGGGAATGTATATCACCATCCCCTCTTCCTCGGAGGCGGAATTTTTAGGTAAACTAGGTTGGCATTCTTGGCGAGTGTTGTTCTTGGGTCAGCTAGGTTGGCATAATCAGAATCAATGATAACCGTGATTAAGATAGAAAACGCATAATGCCATTTTGTCTCGGTCACGCAAGCAAATGAAAAATTTATGAGTATGCTCTTAGGTGCTTAATAAGGGAGGAGACGTTTATTCATTATTATTTGTTATCAACAAAAAACAACAACTCAAAATTTAAAAAATTAGAAAAAATATATATCCGTCACTGATATAATATAAGTTTTCAGTGAAATCTTTAAAAATTGTCGACCATCAAAAAATCTCATAAATCTCAATTTTTCAAAATTGGTTAATAAAAAACTTATACAAATAATGAATCACTATAAAAAACAAATATACTGACAAAGTATTATTGCTCCATGACTGGCAATTCGATAAATGTTTAACCAGTTCCAATATAGCGTGGCCTATAAAATTTTTCTTTTTACAACCAAATTGGTTACAATATAACACTGTTTCAAGTTAAATGTTTATAAAGTCTGTTATAGATAATGCATTCAATTAATTTTGAAAAGGTCTGTAGTTTAAAAACTTTAATTTTATTACCAGATTTGAAAATAGTTGTAAATTACACTATAATTTGTTCTTCACCTGAACGTTTTTTTTCCGACAATAAAAGCATTTCGTAGTTCACTTTAGTTTAAGTTAAGTTCGTCTATAATTATATCAGTCGCGGTAAGATTTGCATCGAAGCATTTTTTACAAAAGGAATACTTACTGCTATGTTTAGACTTATTAAGATAAAAATTGTTTGGTTTCTGAATATAAAGTCTAATGTTTTAAATGATATT